TATCCGTTTAAAAAATGCATTGCTTGTTTTACTTCATGCAAACTCCCTTGTAAATCCCATTGTGTACAGTATCAGAATTCCAGAGTTTAAAAAAGCTCTGTTGTCATTATGTAAGCGTTAAGAAAGAGACGCTAAAAATAATTTTCCACTGAAAGGTAACTAAATGATATACTTTGTAACGCTACCTTTTATTGTATACGATACCCGGTAACCTATATTATTAACCTATTAACCTACCAGTTATCCATATTGCTATATGTTATTCAATTTAATTAAGCCAGCGTCATTGATGCAATTTTCATAGAATTTATTGTACTCATAAAGTCGAAGATCGCCTTAGAAAAACTATAACAAGCTTGCAGCTGAGATCTTCCTGCTACTAGATATGTCTTACGAAATTACTACTGTAAGAAGAATATGAGTGGCAAAAAAAATAATAACCTCGATTTTCTTCTAAATAGGCCTTCTGTAAATAAAGATAGATTTAGAAATCAAAGCTTATAGTTGACCTTCACTCTATAATGGGTCCATCAATGTATAAACAATCTGTGGCAATAAGCAAGTTCCTTATTCCCCTACGGCGTTTTGTCGAGATAGGTCTTAGCATGATTTCGAGGCCAATATGGGGAAATTATTGGCGACAAGACACAGAAACAAGGGGGGATCTCAAGGGTTTGGGGTAACGCGGTTTTGCGGTAATTTTTATTTCAAAGTACGGTACTGCAGTGTTCAAAGTCCAAGCCGGGTGGGCGGCAATTTTAATTTTACGTCGCGGTATTATTGATGAAAAAAAAATTTGCCTCGCAATGATCTGCTTCCTTTTTTAAAGTATGATAACTCTACAAATCCTAAAAGGTGAACACGAACTGGTTATTTGAAAACTGAATCAAACAGCCGTCTGCATCAGATCCATTTCCAGCTAGATTTGTCAGATATGCGTAATTTACACGCGCGCGAGTGCCAGTTAATGAAAAAATATTCTGCTAGCTCAATTTTCGATTTTATTGATTTCAATATTATTATTACAGATGTTTTCTTGTCTGTTACGAAAGTTTTCATAAGAAAGGCTAAAAGATTATCTAAGTATGAGGATGGTGTGGTCTAAAAATTGCTACTCGTCCTACTGGTTGTGAATGCAGGACTATACAATTTAATTTCATACTTGAACTAGTATTTGTGTGTGTGTGCTATGTGCCCTTCGAAACCCAAAGGCAGCCCAACGTAGTGAATCTGAATCCCCTTCAGGGTCGACAACTAGGTGAAACAACCTCATTAAAGTCAACTGTTTTCCCTCAGAGTTTATGATCCAGGTCAGTAATGAATATAGTACTAGACAACTCCAGCTGTTTTAGTAAGGTAATGAACAAAAACGTGCTTGACGATCGTATGTTTATCGCACGCTTAACATCTACGCACTTGATTTATAAACACTGCGGTTTCGGTATTTGGGTTAATTTTGATGCACTATTGTGCAGAATAATTTTTCTGGCTTCCTTTTGCACATGCAAAATTTGCCTGAAAATCTGCATGATATGATCTTTAAATGTAATCTGTCAGTTTAGTGTCACCAGGGGTTTACAGTATTGTGGCAACCTAATGTTAGACCTTTTTTTAAGTAAACAATTTGATTTCGAATGTAATTCTAGTAGACTAACACATTTTACTAGAATTGAACTCACGTTTTTCTTAAAGCTGCTTTTTTTTCATCGCCTTCCCGCAGACGTTATGAAAGAGCAGTGGAGCCAGAAGCAACCAAACAATTCTTGTTCAATTATCTTCCAAAGCAAAAAAAAATCCGTCAAAGTTAAAATACCTCAGAAAATGTTAATCAAAACAACAAAAATCAATTTATTGTGATGTGCATTTTCCATTTTTTAGTGTTATGAAGGCTTGGAACCTTTGTAAGAATTACCATGGCCATTCCATACTAAGCCGCGTCCGCGTGTGCGACCGTCTCATAACAAAATAAAAACAGTACCTTGATTAACATCACCCCCTGTAATAAGTATTATCGCAAGGTGTTAAGAGAAATTCAATTAAGATAGAGAATGGTCAAAACACGGAACAACCTGATTAACAACATTAAGTGACTTCAGAGATGCACATCTTTGTGCGCGCGTTTGTTTTGTTTTGTTTTTTCCTTTTTGTTGGCGTTTTTCAATGGGCTCTCTGCGACAGCAATAAACAGAAAAATAACCGCCATCTTTAAATTCTATAAGCTCCATTATTTATCATCTCTTGGTACCCTCCAGGAGTTATTTTATGACTTTTTTGTACTACTTGACATAACAGTCACAGGAGCGTTGATTGTTCAGATGTTCTCACATATAATTGATATTTCAATAGCTCTAGTATGAGGCAATTAAATTTTTTAACATTTATAGACAATTAAAAAACTTTTTGTTTTTAATTTAGCCAGTTGATTCAAAGCGATTTTATTGATCACTCGATTGATTTGACTCGCTTTCTTTTGCAACTGGTGAGAACATGTTCTATTACTAAAAGGAAAGTGGCCTTTTTCGGTTTGCCTTCAACACTTTTTTCAAACGCACATAGGGGCAAGTTCAGTTTATGGGCCTTTATTGACCTAATATTCCAATTAAAGGAATAAATATTTTGATTGTTTACAGCCAATTTGACATTTGTGTTAAACCGTCACATGAATTATTATCGCCACATTATCATCATTTATTATTGTTCTATCTTTGACATTTCTGTTTAAATCCAGACAAGCCAGGCGTCTCGTCTTGTCACTCATACTAGTTTGGACGTCATGTCCAGAAATGTCTTTAGCTTTTCTTTTAACTAATTAAAATGCATCAAAACTGTTTGAAAATTTCAATAGAACTAGAAGATACACGATATTTTTAATCTTAAGAGAATTAAAGCAGTTATTCAGCTTTCTTAATGTACGCCCCTTCTACATGGACGTACACGCAAATTCATACCCCCACGTGGTACAAGGGAGGGGGATGAATGGAACCCTTTCCCAGAGTTTTTGATATGTTGCAGTATTTCGAAACGATTTTACTTTCAGTGGAAAGCCTTTGATCTTCTTAACAAGATGAGGTATATTTTGTGAGTGGTGGCGCCTCTGGAGGCCTGTGACGTCACCAACAAAGGTCGCCATCTTAGATGTTACCAAGATTTAGAAATCAGGTTAAAACTGCGAGAAATGGCGATATTTTTGTGCTTGACATGAACAATAACACATAAATGAGCACTTTGCATGATTTTAGCCACATATTTTAATTTTATTGTTGACAAAAGTTACAATAAAAACAATGGCTTGACCACCTTTTACTTATTACGTCATATCTCGTAACTATAGAAACTGACTATCACTGAACTTGACTAAACATGCGCGCGAAGGATAAACGAACATGTACTGAAAACATCAGGTGCTGATGTTTTACCCTCTAGGAAAAAAACTCGGAAAAAAGCTCAAGGAGATGGGGAGGATTGGGTAGCGACCACCACCCCCAACCCCTTGTACGTCCGAGGGTTAAAATGCATTTAAATTTACCCCAGCAATAATAGCAGATTGTTCTAGCTAACTTGTAGATAATTAGGATATTATAAACAGGGGATCGTTGTTGATAGCGTATTATACAAAGTGGACGCGATGTGGGACAGTGCAACTGGTTTGTATTCGTTGACTTAAAGCTGAGTGTCATTAGAAAAGAAGAGCTCGTTCTTTTTGGAGTTTCTATCATGTGAGCTTTGGTAGTCGATATTTTATCCCTGGGACGTATACTCGGACGTATAAGGATCGGGGGCCAGCCCTCTGAGGTTTTTCTGTTTTTTTTTTTCCTAGACGACGAGTTTAGTGATGGTCAGCTACCAACTGCTCTGGAATTATCATAAATTACGGCTACTTAGTTTATTGCAAAGTGCAATGGACACTTACTACAAATTTCAGCCTCCATAAGAGCGAAACGGTTCATTGCTTACTGTAACAGGTATTAGAAAGTGCAATGGGTTTTTCACAAATTGTGACAGGTTTAACAAAAAGTGTCATGATTATTACTAATTGCGACAGCACATTTGTCTCATGAAAAACATTCGTTTCACCCTGGCTTTATAGAGCTATAGGTTTTGAATGATTATGGGCAGTCATTGACCCCCCTGGGGGGAAGGCTGTAAAGGGTATCTTTTTAAGGCTTCAGGTATAGGAAAGGATAGGGATTTTACTCGTTGAAGTATACGAAAGGGCAGGGAAATCTGTCATTTGTGTCTGCCTTATGGCTTTATAAAGTTGAGAAAACGTTCTATTTTTGTGATTGATTCCTATTTAAACGGCAGTGTATTTACAGCACTTAAGGGACCGTTCATTATTTATCACCTGGGGAGGGGGGGGGGGGGTCGGAGGATTTTGGGGGATCACTTGATTTTTAGGAGAACAGAGGGGGGATCAGTCGTAACTGAGAGCCCAAAAGGTGGGGATCACTGAAAATTTTGGAAGGATTCAGAGGGGGGACCACTCAAATCTGCTTGAACAATGCCAGTTTGAAAGCATACAACATAAATGTGCCCATTCTACTGGGAGATGATAGCATTTGCAATCTCAATTTGTTCTAACACAACTTTATTTAAAAAACGGAAGTCTGTCACACGGGGATGATGAAGATTTTATAGCAAAGGCAATAGAAGACAAAGCAAACTATCACGGCAGACGGCACGATACAGTTCTGTACACCAGCCAGAGAGTGAAGAAGAAGAACCTGCTTACCATAGCCAACTTCTTCCCACGCTGTGCAAGCCGATAGTTAATACGTTCAGCTACAACAGTGTACAACAGGGCCAGACCGCGAAACAAAAGAAGCGTGCAAGCGAAGCGACATACTGGAAAGGGTCTTTTCTGCTGGAAAAAACCACCCAAAGGCGAGGAAAAGAGTAATGAAAACACCCATTATCAAAGAGCCCACGTTAAGAACATAAAGAAGCGATTTTGGGGTGCTAAAAATGCTGAGAGTACAAAGTTTTGCTTCAAGAGAAGCATGGACGACAAAGCTTACCTCCGACCTGGGACTTCGGAGGGTTTTGAGAAAGCACGAAATCTAAGGATCTTGACACTTACAGATGAAGAAAAAGCGAGAAAGTTGCCAAAGTATGATTGGCAGGAAAAGATGGTCTATGTGACTCCCGGATCACATCGTATTTTCACTAAGTCTAGCGTCATGGCCGACAATGATGAGAAGCTTGTAACTGAGGATGATCGGCACCACGTGATCGTTCGGCCGAGGGCAATAGTTGGATCTTCAGGGAGTGTCTGGGCAAGCAAAACAATTCGCTTGCGACACGAGGATCCAGCAGCTTTTGAAGTTGAAAAGACAGAAACAAACGCTGAACATTCTCTTGGATTTCGCAAATGCTGCGCTAGATTGCACGATGACCTATTTTTGTACTATGACATGACAGAGTCGGACGACTTAAACAAAATTACCGAAGAGCATAACTGTAAATTTTACGCCTATGAAAAGCAAAGAGCAGGTCATCTAAAACTAAGGCTGGAAAAAATGCTGCAGTTGTCAGAGACAACAGAAATGTCTGACCACAATAAGTCCCTGCTTGCCTGTCGTGTGATTCCGACCATCAAAGACATTTTAAATGCCATTGACGAGGTAGCAAACAGTGATGCTCCAGTTGACACCGCAGAATCTAGAGTTCAATCTGTTTTGAAAGTGAGCCGTCCTTGAAAACAGGGTCTCGAAATAGTTAGTGATCTCTGCTTGCCACCCGTGAAGCCAAGATGGGCAGATTTGACGGATGCCGGACCTGGGTTGGTGTTTCTAACTATGAAGTTCGCTTTCGCGACGCTGAGTTGGCGCGAATCCACAACTCGGAGTATCGAGTACGATGCCATCGCTCGAGAGGTGACAGCGGGGCAAAGCGAGGCCGAGCGCACAAACTCGGCCATTTCAGGCGCTCTTGTTGACGGTGCAACGCTGGAATGGAAGAAGTACCGTCGATTCGAAGATCTCTCTGAAGACGAAATCAAAGCCATGTCTCTCCATTCCTACGAACAGTACGAAAAAGAGCGTATGGAAAAAAAATGCTTGGCACGTTTGCAAGCAGGTCGCCGAAAGGATAGACGACGCCCCTGTCCTGAAGGATTACATCACTAGTAGAGTGAGTGAGTCTCCAGAAGAGTTATTCTTTTTTAATGCTTCTGAGTTAAATACGTACCGAAATGCTTCAGAAAACAGTAAGGCCGAAATACCCGGTGCGGCATATCTTAATAAAATAGAGAGTTTTATTGAGGACCACTACGTCCGGGGAGAGCTCTTTTTGAATTTTGTCGGGATGCCTGAAATAAGCAAAGCGATGCAAGCACACACACTCTGTTCCTGGTGTACCAACAACAGATGGGTGGGACCAGTAACAGAAAGAATCCTCAGCCTGTGCCAGACAAGCAAATTCCCGGGCACTTTATGGATGTGTACGAAACGCCGACAACAGGTCGTGCTCCAGACTATTATCAACCGAGGAAATGTCTGAAGGACTTGTACGAACAAAACGCCATCTCTGCGGGCAATCCAAATACCATCGCTGCTTTCTGTGCAACCTATAGTGTCGAGGAAAAGCATGTCATTGAATACCTAGGCCATCTAAATGATATCAACATCAAAGGGATATTAGAACAAGAGAGGCTAAGGAGAAACAAAGGTTAGAAGAGGAACTAAATAACATACAAGGACTACCAGTGGGGCATACTTATTGAGAATGGCAAAGTTGAAAAGCTGAAGGTGAGACAGCTCGACCTGTACCTTAAGGAACACGGCCTGACCACTGTTGGTATAAAGCTGGACAAGATAAAGGCAATTCGCTACCATTACTATCGACAGAGAAGTCCAGGCAACGGGAATGAGTTGTCCAGCAGTGAGGAAGAGAGTGAAGAATCAGATACGGAGTTAGATGATGACGAGGATAGCGAAGATGATCTTGTCATTGCTGATCTCGATGAACAGTCAACTGTTCCTATGCCAGTTTTAACTTTTGTGCCAGATGACCAAATAGCTGAAGTTACTGTACAAGCGAACACTGGATGAAAAAAAAAAAGGAAAACAAAAAGAAAACAAACAAAAAACGAACAAAAAAAAAAATTATAAAAATGTGAGCAAAGCTACAAAGGCTGATCTATTACACTATAGATGAAAATAAAAAGGAGACAGGAACAGCGGCCGATCCTAGCCCTTCCAGATGGCCGAATTGTCGCTAAATATGACCTGCTGATAGGGACTTGGCGGACTGCACTCTAAAAAAGTAACTTTGCAGTTTCAAGCACTGATTGCAGGTTCAAGCACTTTGCAGTTTTAAGCAAGATTGCTTTTATGTCAACTGAATTCAGATGTCTGGATCCAGACTAGAAAAAGACACGGATCAAGAGACACTTTTAAAAAAAGACTGCGCGATAACGGCTTTATTATGCTGTAAGTACATCATAGTTAGAAATACTACCTGTATATGAACGTTTAAAACACTAAATATACACGTCGAAAGGTGATTATGGGTACAAAGACATGGGGGGGGGGGGGATCACGAAAGTTATATATAGTTATGAGGGGGGATCACTTCAATAAAAAAACATTTAAAGGGGGGATCGGCTAAATTTCATCATTTTTAGCCAAAAATCCTCCGACCCCCCCGGCGATAAATAATGACCGGTCCCTAAAAGGGATGCAAAGTTCCTAACAAAGTATGTGAAAGGGGTACCATTTGTCAATAGAAGATATACGAAAGGGGTACCTTTCTCGTGAAAAATGTTATATAAAAGGGTCAGAGGTTGGACCTCGGGGCGGAGCCTCCCCGCATAAAAATTTGTTCAGTATCCCCCCCCCCCCCTCCGGATTGACCCCATTGAGGACAAAATAAGTAAATTAGTTATGCTACTTATAATATTCGATTATTATGCGACAGTGTTTATACTGAAGTTTAAAGCTTTTTAAACACCCGGGTCTTCAAATTTATATGTACACTCAATCCTCAGTTTCCTAATCATATTTCTTCAATATTTAGGTCTTAGATAGAATTAAAGCCCGTCGTCTTGCAAAGCACTAATATCTACATTTCAATATTTATACAATCCTAACAATCTTTGTTGCTGTTGCATGTAACAAGTTTTGTGGTCCACATGGGTGGCACAACAATTGGACACCAGATTTCATCCCCACAAGGAGCAATTGTTCTCCGGGTTCATGGGAGTTCCTGGTTTACAATGAAAGACTTCTGCGAATTTAGCAAAGTTTTGAGTGGACCATTTATCCTAAAAAATAGTCCAATTAAAATGAACATAAATTGTACGGATTACTGCATTTCCTGAAAATTATTATATCCGACGCGTGCACTGGAACATATAGTTTGCTTGGGCGAGTCGCTTTTGTCTCAAGTGAACAATCGCCGTTGAGCAAATGTATTTCCAGAAGGGGTGGCTAACTTTGGTAAAGCTATGTATCGGTCCCTAGAAAGGTCTATCTACGACACCCGGGATGGATTTTTTTTGTACAGTGCGCAGGCCTCATTTTCTTGGCCGCGCGTTGATCTGGCCCGGCTACTTCGGCGAGCATATTCTCGGCCTTTTTGGAGTACATCCTTCGAGTTTGTCAAAGTCTGCGGGATTCGTTTTTCTATCTGGGAAAGCTTCATTGGTTTCTATATCTCCTGCTATCCTATTACTACGATCCTGGCATGTTTATTTTCCGTTGTCTCCTACCTTGTATATTATTACTGTATATAGAGTGAATTTGAACAAATTACTGCAAATTATCACGAATAAACTTCGTTGGAGCAATAAGGACAACAACAACTAACTGCAGAGTAAGTTTCATTGATCTTTATTTAGTATTTCCTAGAAATTTTAGGATGGTATTTTTACCCCACACAAACACTGTAATTTTACTGGAACCGTACTGTGGTACCATCACGGAGCCTGGGTTACCTGTGCTTCGATGACAAATTTGCCACTGTTTAATATAATTGCCTAAAATAAATAACAACGCGCATGTATGAATTAGTAAGTTGCAATCGTTAATAGACATTTTAATTATTGCTTTTTGTCTATTTTAAATCATCTTAATAACGGACGGAAGCGAAAAAATGCATTTTAAGAGAATCCAACGAGGGACCGTCTCGCGCCTACAGTCACGTGCGTGGTCATTTGCGTGTATCGCGCGTTTGTCTCGACAGACCAAGAAAAAAAAAACTGCTCGTAGTCTAAGCTTCAGTGCGCCCTTGTTGTTGGTTGGTATATATATATATATATATATATATATATATATATATATTTATATATATATATATATATATATAGCCGAATTTTTGAAAACCTACCTGAAAATGCACCAGAATATTCGCACAGAAAGCTGGCCATAGCCAGCTTCCTGGTCGCTGCGCTGAGAAAAAACATAGGGGGCTTGCTGTCCTGCTTGGTCTCATTGTCAAGTTCAGTCCCTGAGCTAACTCGCCATGGGTTGGAAAGGGGCCTCCATGTCAATCCCTAGGGGGAGGCTGCTGCAAAAAGCGTTGTACCTTCCGTTAGTCCTGGTCTGGGAGAGTCAGTGCACTGGTCACGTCTGCCTTTAGTTTGTCATGTCAAATTCTTGTAACGTTTGAGGCCCATTGACCAGTGAAAGCATTCCCCTCAAGCACGTGCTAGGCTGGGGGGTGGAGGAAGTCAGGGGGGTGACTTAACCTGAATTCTCTGCTTAGAACTTGCTGAAGTCTCAAGCGTCCTCCGTCATTCAGGGCCTTTAAGCAGTTAGAGTCTATGGACAAGTCCAGAGTGTCTTTTTGATGGACTTGAATGTTTCTTTTGCATAATCAGGAACCAAGAAGAGAGTCACCTTAAGAGAACCATGGGTAAGAGCTGAGTTTCTTGGCGATATTTACTTTAGTTGAGTCAGTTTAAGGTGTGTGGGCTCTGGTGTCCGATGTTACAGTTTTCATAAATCCGGAATAGATATATATATTTTTTCTTTTCGTGGTGGGTTGGATCATGTCGGTTGGCGCTTATTTACTGACGTATCTTAATAACATTTCAGAGAAAGGGTTTCTATGAAAGCAGGTTTAATATTTGTTAACTATCGTCATGATAATTTGACAAGTCGTGGTTTTGTTACAATTTAAGGTGATCTGGCTGTGACTAAATGCCTATAAGGGAAGCAAATTAATAGAGAGCTAATATGTTAATCCCATTCTGTATCGGAAAAACTAGGGTGTTATTGATCTCTAACGACAAAGGTTGTTTTGAGTTCAGTATGATAATAATTTTTTTCTAACTCATTAAAGGGATTTTAAATTAATTCGAGTTTCAAAATTATCTTTTTTATTTCATCCTGACACATAAAAGGATATTTCATGCTGTTTTAAAAGGCTCCTGCGTTTTAACGTTTATCTAATGATCAAAGCAAAAGTGCAGAATCAAATTGCAAAATTTTTCACTTTTCCAATCTAAAAATCTTTCACAAAGGTTTTAAAAACTGTTTTTTGTTCTTCGTTGATAGGTTTTTGTTAAATTGTCATACCATATTGAAAAACCTGAAATTCAACAATAACTCTTTTTCAACAAACAAAGCAACTACGCAGCTGACAATCCTCACGAACGACTTAAATTCAAAAGCTATGCAAAAGAAAACTAATTCACTACTTTCACATAGACCGTATAACGCACCTTGTTTAACCCCTAAAATTTCACTTATGTCCAGGATTGATCTTGTTAGCAAAAACTTGTTAGCAAATTGTTTTCACAATTTTGGGGAAAAGATTTGAAGGAAACTGCTATCAGAAATGTATAGAAGAAACAGCAAATTTCGCAAACATTTCAAAAGTAACAAGAATTCTTGCTTTGTGAAAAGATTGAGTTACAATTTTGAAAAGAAGCCATGGATAATGCCATAAATTGCGCTAGACGACTAACAACAACAGGCAAGAAAGGCCAAAAACAGCAATACGTAACTGAACGGAAGTACAATTAA